CTTAAATTTTTAAACTATTTCATTTTTCGAATTTACAAAAACCATTTGTGAGAATTCTACTGAGTTGTATATTGGGCTAGGGAGGGAGTGCCCTGGGGTCGGTATATAATCAAACATATTGAGAGACTGCGACCAGAGGAATGAATGCGATTAGTTCAGTTTATAATAGTATTAGACGATTACCGATTAATGACATCTCCTCCCAACCCACCTTCATAAAAAATCCGTTTAAGCAAACAATAGAAACAAATTCTAAAAATGTTAATTGGTGCCACAGAGCTTTTCTTAGAGGTAGCTAAGAATAAATAAAATATGAATATGAAAAAGGGCTTAAAAGGAAAAAAGAAGAAGAAGTAGAAGAAGAAGAAGAAGTAGAAGAAGAAGAAGAAGAAGAAGAGGAAGAAGAAGAAGAAGAAGAAGGAGAAGAAGAAGAAGAAGAAGAAGAAGAAGAAGAAGAAAAAGAAGAAGAAGAAGAAGAAGAAGAAGAAGAAGAAGAAGAAGAAGAAGAAGAAGAAAATAAGAACAAAAAGGAGAACAAGAAGAATTACAAGAAGGAGAGAAAGAACAATAATAACAATATCAAAATAACCTAGAGTGTCAATTGTTATAAAACAAATAGAGATTTATAACCACTATAGTTTAGTCCCTGGTGCCATTGCGTCTAAAGCTTAGATTTCAGCATCACTGCACATTCATTACTCTCTAATCATATAAGATAATGATAATTTAATAATATAATATCATAATCTGTCCTCATTCAGCTTAGTCACTTACACAAACAACTTATTTGTTGGCAGGGTGTCAAATTTATTTAAATCTAATAAAATTAAATCTTTTAAGTTGAATAAGAAAAGAAAATAATGCAAAAACTTTGCAAAAAGAAGTCATTGAACAAAAATTAAGAAAAGGCTATTTTCTGAGATTAAACATTTACTCAATTTACTTCTAAGAATTTACTTTAATTTGACTATCCAGGCCTATCTATTTGTTTGCCTTGTCTTTTAGGTTGGTTTGCAAGCAAAAAACGTCAAAAAACTACTAAGCCAAGCGAACCCACGTTTTTACGATTAAAAATTTTCCCTTCAAGCTTTAAATTTCAGAGTTTTAAAAATGCATTAATAAAGCCGGAAAATATGCGAAATAGTTTAAGCGTTTTTTATGTCACAATGTGTACAATTAAAAAATACAGGATTGCAGATACGGCATCAGATAAAACTGCAAAATAATTCTAAGAAAAAAGACCAAGCATAATTCTGTATATATATATTGAACATATAGATCCAGACAGCTATGAACAGTAGCTTAAAGTTTAAGACTGGGTCAAGTTTAAATTGTCGTAACGTAGTGGCTTAAACTAATTTAAACTTTTTGTTGTCCTACACATCATTTTAGAACTTTAGAATAAAACATCATTCATTTTATCATATATATCGTTCGTTTTTTGTCACTGAACGTTCGTTCAAAAAAATCGTTCGTTTAGTAAAATCATTCGTTCAGTAATATCTACGTTCAATAAAATCGTTCATTCAACAAAATCGTTCGTTTGAAAATATTTTTGTTAGCGAAAACGATTCCCATCTTTATGAAGTGATAACATTTTTTGGGACATCTCTATTCATTCATAATAGACGCTGACCATATGTGAACTAAAACTTTTCTACAGAAGCTGTAAAAAAGTATGAATGCGCGCAAAACTTTATTGCACTATCACGTATTTAACAATCTTAATCTTAATAAACTATATTTTTCTTAAAAAAATAATTTCTTGTTAAATCCCTCTTTCCGATCATGAGCGTAATCAATATTTAACTAGTCCCCCCCCCCTCTCATATCCAAACAATTACCCCCTAACACATAAAATCGCACCCTTTTCAGTGTTAGATAAGCTCTTTATTCTAAAATTATCAATATTATTAATAATTTTGTCGGACACAATACTGAGTTAACACTTGTGATGTAAGAATACAGCTGTACTGAGAGTGTACAAATACTACGTTGCCATCTATTGTACTTAACAATCTATTTGGGTTTATCATAAGCTTGAAAAATCAACTTGTTGAATGAAATGGGTCTGTGTACACTGCACGATATCTGTGTTTCATAACCATTGACATTTTAAATCATAACTTCAGGTTGAGTCATACTGTCGTCTTCACAGTTTAAAGTTAGAGAACCACTGTTAAAGTTTTTTAAAATTCAGATTTGATAAAAATACAAGACAGAAAGAATATGTTATGTCAAAACGGCTGAATCGATCGGGCCCAAATTTTTTGTGGGACATCTAGGGACCCCAGGGAAGGTTTATGAATGATCAAATTTCAAATATTTGTCTCCATCAAAATTCGATCTCCATTAAATTTTTTAAAATTTTGAAAATCCACGAAATTTTTTGTGAAAATCCGCGAATTATTTTTGTTTTGTTTTACGATGTACACAAAGAAAACATTGTTCACAATTAATTTAGAAGATGGGCACGAAGCGCCCTCCAAGGCTAGTATCTAAAAAACAGATAATAACGATGCCCAAATCTGCTTTAATCAGAAAATGGTTGGATGTATCCACTTTACAGTTTAGTAAAAGAAGAGGAAGGGTACATATAGAATTATAAATTGATGAAAAGAATATTAAAGTATTGGTGAGGAAAAGTGGTATCCTGGGAGCACTTGTATATTTTATAGTTTCTCCAATAATATCCTCCAACCCTCCAAATATATTATTAAGTTTACAGGGCGCTTCACCTCTGTTTGTCTGTTTGTGTGTCAGTCCGATCACAGCTTATGAACCCCTTGACTGAATTGTCTTAAATTTTAAGAACTCGGTAGAACCACGGAAATGTTGTTAACTTGGTTTTATTATTTATGTCTCCAGAGCCCGCGATTAAAAAAAACTCGGGAAAATACGGCTCGGGTCTAAGCTGTCGTTGGGCGTTGTTTACGGTTTGACCTTTCGGATTCAAGCTGCATCTTATTTTCCACAGAGTTGAGTTCAAAAAACCGGTTTAATTTTCTATTTGGCAGATTTTGATGGTAGGAATTTTAAATTATCGTCTTCTTTGACATAATTCTAAAATTCTAAAACCAAAATACAAAATTTAGTATTTGAGCTAGGAAGCTCAAATTTTCTGGCTTTTCTAAAAAACACAGATTAAAAGCTGGGCTTACATACCTACTTCCTGAGTCCTCAGGCATATGCTTACATGCCTTATTTTACCCATACCAGACTAAATCTATACTTATACCTACTTCCAGTCAATGGATTTCAACATTTTATGGCTCTTTGGAAAGCCTATAACAGTAGAAAGCAGATTGCACAATTTTTGCAAAGAAATTTTGCACAGACGCCTTTGAAGGGAATTTGCACATTTTTAGTTTTTCTTGAATAATATCGCAAAAAAAAATAATTTTATCCATGATAACAAATTTTGTAAGCCTGTAATAATCTCGATATATAAATAAATATAGATTTTGCAATAAATATTTGGGTTTTTGCAAATTTTAAATTTTTTTTGCAATTGCAACATGGTCTGACATTAAATTGTCCCTAAAAATTGACCCCATGGATATATGTATATTTATAATATATTTTCTGCTCGTTCGTTTGTTTATTTCTAAAAAAATACCGTCTAAGCTAAATTTGTTGGACCTGGCATTGGCAATGTATTATATTCTTCTTTGAAGGTTGTTTGTATGTTAAGCTATTGGGAAAGGTCGTCTTTAATATTTTCAATCTTGTGGCAGACATTGAATATTTGTTTTTGAACAGATTTTGAACGTAAAATACACACTTACTGATGCTTTCATTGCATAATTCAACTTGAAGAAAGGTATGTCGAGGGACATTTTTTTAGAAACGAGGTTAAAGTGACCATCTCCGATTTGGTTTATATTTTGTAAACAGCTTAATGTTTGGAAAAGAAAATATGTCATTTTCTACATATTTTAGGAGTAGGAGTAGAAGGGCGAAAAAATGTATTTTGTTAATCCTGTAACTTTTTTGTTTTGTTTCAAATTTTTGACTAACTTAAAATCTTGTGTTAGTTTCCAGAAAATAAGTGTTCTTTGGTATGTTAGAGGGCTTCATGAAGACCAACAAAATCTCAAATATTTAGATTTTGTCATCAAGTTCATGCATCAATGTGATTTATCTAAAATATGGTTTTTTGGCTCCAGGAATCCATTTTAGAGGTCAATAATAGTTTTTGACAATTCTGCGGAATATATATAGGATACCTGAACATTGTTGCTATAATTGAATCCGATACAAAATAAAAACTCAGCGATTTCTTGCATAATTAAAAGAAATAAAGAAGACATCTATCATTGTTTTCTGAGTTCACTTTTTCATCATATTTCCCCTCAACATCAAATTTTAACCTTGATTGGAAGAATTGGAACAGTTTCTTAATTTATCTCTATAATAAGCTATATTATTATTAACCTTTTTTTTTCTTAATTGCACAATTGATCAAAACGGCATTATATCAGATTTTTTTATGTTTTAGATTGTTTTACTTAAGAAAAATATGTGTCTTTGCCTCTCCCCCCTTTCTCAACTAAGAGCCATCATTGAAAAGACGACATTTACGATTTGCTGAGTTTAAATTCTACAAATATTTGGTGAAAAAAGTCAAAAATAAATATTCATGAAATTAAAACGAATTTTTTTTAGAAATTCAAAAATTGTAGGAAACAAAAATGTATAATATTCTAAAATTATCACAAAAACATTTAAAATAAATATAAACCTATTTAGCGGGCCTGACGTCTGGTTTACTGACTGGCTGCCTGGGTGGGCTTAAATTCACCCCCCCCCTCTATTTTTTATTGTGATACATTTGATACGTTTTTGGAAAGCTGTAGGGCTTCACTTGCAAATTATAAATAAAGTAATCTTAAAATCATAAAATAAAAAAAATCATTTCTTATTTAAAAAATCAATTAAGTTTATTATCAAATGTGAACCACAAGTTCTGATCATAGGTGTTTAAAAGAGTATCATTATTGGGTACATTTAAAACATTTATTCATTATTGGGTACAATTATACATTTAAAATATAAAAAAAATCTTGTTCACAGATAATGTGAAACTTTAATCTGGGCTTCCCTTTCCTCCTATAACATTCAGATTTATGCTTATAAAAATGATATTGAAATAATGATAATATTAATCTGCAGCTGTGCCTCTGAGAATGGTGAAGGGTATGCTGGATATATACTTCCATCTTCAGAGGTAGAATTATTCCCTTTTCCTGATGTTGCAACCACACCTGGAATAAACAAATGTTTCAACCACACCCTGAATAAACAAATGTTGCAACCCCCCTGTAATACCCTGCAATAATTAGCTACATGTTCCAACCACTCCCTGTAATAAGACAACCACCCTGTTTATTGAATCTGCAACCATCCATCAATAATTTTCAAACACCCTGTAATAATAAAATCTTGCCACTAATCCTGTAAAAATTAAAAAGTATGTCTATATAATAAAGCTCTTCGCTCATATATATATATATAGATGTTAGCTATAGCTGGCCAAAAGGCTGGACCGAATGGACTGACATTTTTTGAAGGAACTCTTGAATATCCACGGGGGTAACATAGGCTAAAAAAAATTCTGTAAAAATAATTTTTTTTTCTTTCAAAAATCGATTTTTTTTCTCACAAATCTAAATTTTCTTTTTTTCCACGGGCAACGCCTGGTACTTCAGCAAGTATGAAATGTTTTTGTGTTGCAACCACCCGGTTCCCCGTCAGGACAAATGGAGGAAAATGTACGCTAGATTGTGACGTATGTATTTAGGTTAATCAACTACACTGATCATTGTTATTAGGTGCAGTACTAATTTTGGTTTATTTTCAAATCCCTTTTCCGCGTACTGCACCTAATAACAATGATCAGTGTAGTTGATTAAGCTAAATACACACGACAGAATCTAACGTACATTTTCCTCCATTTGTCCTGACGGGCCCGGTTCTGTAGGTAAAAACTATAAATGTTGCAACCTCCCCTGTAACAATTAGATATTGTAACCAACCCTTGAAATAAAAATTGTAACTCCCTTTTATATAAGGAATTGAGTTTTTGTCAGAAACACAAATTTTCCAATTCCTATAACTTTGAATCCTAATGGTGTAACCCTGTGATATATCAAACTTAGCTTAATTGATCTTACAGAATTCATAGTTTAAAATATCTAATGTCTACGACATAATGTTGCAAGGATATAAGGGTTAGAAAATCTGAGTTTGCTGCAAAAACTAAATTCCTTTGCAAATTAAAAATTATGTAGAAACCGCCCTGTTCAATGAAATGTTATAACTATTTGTTGAAACAACCCAGTAGAAATTAGAAGTTGCATAAACAAGTTTTGCAACCAAATATTAATAATTTTCCTACTCACCAACTCCTGGTGCAGCCATAGCCTAGTAACAAAATCAAGTCATCAATGTAATCTCCACAAGGAATAAAGCCAGTCTTTAATTTTTAATTGCTAATGTTTAATTATTAAATTAGAACTGTATAATTGCTGGAAAAAAACCTTTTCATAATCGATTCTTGAAAAAAAAATTGAGTTTTGAATTTATTTGTATGAATACCCATTCGGTACAGTTGGTGTTATATCATACAACTAATTTAATAACATAAAACCAGATGTAGCACTAGCAAGTATGTAAACTATTAAAAACCATTTATGAAAATACATTTATTTTTTAGTTGTAAATAGAAAAAAGTAAATACGCTATGTTTATGTTAATATAGTGCAAAAATCACCTTAAGTAAAAATAGCTTCTGCATTTGCTTCTTCTGCAATGCTTGTTCTCGCAACCTCTCTCTCTTTCTATTTTCAATTTATCATTAAAAAAGTAATAAAACAAACTATGGATTATTCGATGGTTAATCAGTCAAATATGAGGTACTGTGCTAGGCTCTTAGGCCGCTTCACGCACATCTTCTATTTCAAATTTAAAGTTTACAAAAATCAAAAGCTTTTGGAGACAAATTTTTTTAATTTTTAAAAGATAATCGTTATTAATTCAGACCAGTTTAGGGGTTTAAAGTATTTAGTATTTGGATAGATATTTTGTTATTTTTTCCAATCTAATTTGACATTTTCCCACACCTCTGAATTTTCACATCAAATCTACTGAAAATAAATAATTATACAAATGGAATTTGAATTTTGATATTAGCATATTTTGAATTCGTGTATTGGTATAATTGTTATTTCAAATCAGTTGAAATTGTTTGCAGAAAAGTTAAAGTGTATTGTTATAAAAATATTCAAATATATCTAGATTATTTTACTAAATAATAGAATATATCTATATTATTTTACTAAATACTAGAATCTATATATAAATTTGTCTGTCTGGCTGTTTGTATCCAATAAACGTCAAAGCGGCTGAACCGATCGGGCCGAAATTTTTTGTGGGACATCTAGGGACCCCAGGGAAGGTTTATGAATGATCAAAATTGAAACAAAATTCCGTTAACTTTTTGATTGTTTTTGATATATAATGTACACAAAGAGAACATGTTCACAATTAATTTAGAAGATGGGCGCGAAGCGCCCTCTAAGGCTAGTCTATATATAAATTTGGCTTGTCTGTCTGTTTGTCTGTCTGTTTGTATCCAATAAACGTCAAAACGGCTGAACCGATCGGGCCCAAATTTTTTTGTGGGACATCTAGGGACTCCAGGGAAGGTTTATGAATCATCAAAATTTCAAATATTTGTCTCCATCAAAATTCGATCGTCATTAAATTTTTTAAAATTTTGAAAATCCGCGAAATTTTTTGTGAAAATCCGCGAATTATTTTTGTTTTGTTTTACGATGTACACAAAGAGAACATGTTCACAATTAATTTAGGAGATGGGCGCGAAGCGCCCTCTAAGGCTAGAAAGAAGGGCGCGAAGCGCTTTGAATTTCTAGTTTTACTAAATACTAGAATATATCTATATTATTTTACTAAATACTAGAATATATCTATATTATTTTACTAAATACCAGAATGTTAGAGAAATTGAACATTAATTCTGGATTTCAACCTAAAAATGATTAGTCAAAATCAAAATTGAGTATTGCTACTAACTCTATTTTTTTTATCAGATATGGTTGTTAGTAGATTTGAGCTTGTGGCAAAAATTCAGTTCCTTACGATTATTTAACCTATTTTTTTTCTGCTGTAGATACATAGATGTTGGGTCATCTGATAGAAATAGATGGATATTCATGGATAACAAAATCCTACAGTTAAACTCATTAATATGAATACATCGGCAGAATTTATATAATGTTGCCTAGAATTTGAATTTGAAGCTGTCAATTGTATTTATTTACGCTGTCAAATTTTTCTGTAGAAGCGTTACAGGAATCTGTTCAGTTTAGAGAAGAAATTTCATAGACAGAGAAGAATATTCTTAGACAGGTGATTTCAAAGAGACAAAAGCAATTTTTCAGAGACAATTTAAGGTTTTGGGTATGTAAAATATGTGTCACAATTTTAGAAAATGTGAACAGTTTGACTAATAAGAAATCAACAATATAATATGTTATCAGTTTAAAAAGCAATAATATGATTAATATGTTAAGTAAAAATCATTAGATGAGATCACTTAGAAGAACATTTTTTATTTATCTATGAAAAATATTCTCTGTCTGAGAAATTCCTATGTATGAATTGTCATATCTATAAAATGTCCAATCTATGTAATATCCTGTCGATGAGATATCCTCTCTATGAAATATCCTTTCTATGAAATGTCTTCTATAAAATGTCGTATCTATGTATATATAAATATATATAAATAATGTAGCTAGAAATAATAATCTTAAAACAGCTAGAATCCGAGAAATAACAAAAGTCTCATCTTATCGGGGTACCCTGTAAAAACCATTTTTAACATTAATTTCAAATTATCTTTGATAAAATTAAATATTTCCTAAGTTTGACTTCGTTTCTCCACATCCTATTCTTATAGTAACTAGCAAAGCTGTTCACAACTATAAAAAAACAATATATAAAAAAAACATTTATATATGTCGTAACAATGAAATATTAATTTGATGAAATTTTCGGTATGTAAAATTTTTTTATGAGACTGTGAAATGTCGCGTCTTTTAACTTTAATAATTTATTTTAATTAAATTTTACAATATTTTTAATATTTATATGATATAAGAGAAATGTCGCGTCTAAATAAAAGATGTCCTGTGATTAGAGATTCCAATTGTGTATTTTTTTTGGACGCATTGTAAAACAGCTTTTCTATGTTTCAAAATTATTCCAAACACTAGTATATTTCTGATATCAAAAAATATGTTTTACCAATAGGAATAGGTAAAGTGAGAATGAAAACTCCTGCGAGGGCGCAAAGACCTCCCAACGCCTGACCTAAATAAAAAAAATAAAAAAAATAAAATAATTAACACTTAATCACTCTGTTACAAATAGAAGATAATGAAAAAGTACGGAAAAAAATAAACTTAAAAAAACGTAAAAAAGTGAGATCATATTGAAATTTTTTAGAAATCTGTTTTTGCCACTTTTGTAGGATTCTGTAGGCTGTAGCCGTAGGTTCGTGCCAATCTTTGGGATTTAGTTTTAAATGGATATCAACGCAATAATTGTGCAGTGTACACTGTACAGTTTCACTTCATGAGTTGATGCTCATGCTACTGATTTAACAATTTTCCTTATCATTAAATACATATATAACATAACTTAAATATCACTTCAAAAGTTTGATTTAAATCTTAATATTTCCAATCATAACTCCTCTGCTTGTAGATCTGTTGAGAAGAACAAAAATGTTTTGAAGTTTGTATATGTACCCGGGTTTACATACCCGGGTATACATACCTGGGTATACGTACATGGGTATACGTACCCGGGTATACATACCCGGGTATACGTACCTAGGTATACGTACCCGGGTATACATACCCGGGTATACGTACCCGAGTATACATACACGGGTATACGTACCCGTGTATGCATACCCAGGTATACATACCCAGGTATACGACCCAGGTATACGTACCCAGGTATTCATACCCAGGTATGCATACCCAGGTATACATACCCAGGTATACATACCCAGGTATACATACCCAGGTATACGTACCCGGGTATACGTACCCGGGTATACGTACCCAGGTATACGTACCCAGGTATACGTACCCAGGTATATGTACCCAGGTATATGTACCCAGGTATAAGTACCCATGTATACGTACCCAGGTATACGTACCCAGGTATACGTACCCAGGTATACGTACCCAGGTATACGTACCCAGGTATACGTACCCAGGTATACGTACCCGGGTATACCTACCCGGGTATTCATACCCGGGTATACGTACCCAGGTATACGTACCCGGGTATACGTACCCGGGTAAATTTACTTTTCTCATAAAATCAAAATTAGAGGAACTAAAATGTCACAAACTTGTATCTTTAATGTGGCATTAATTTCATTATGATTTAAAGGTCTCATGCACTCAAGCAAAAATCGATGAGAATTTTGCCAACTACTTTCTAAAAACCAAAGCTAGCAACAAGTGTTTTACAAATACAATGTTTATGTAAAGCATAAGTGAGTTAGAGCGGTAAAATCAAAGCCCAAGGCGTTGTGACACTTCATCATTGACCCTGTATTAAATATTGACAAAACCATTTTACAGCAGACTGAATCTTTGTTATATTTTACTATCTCCTTCCTGTTTAATTCTGTTTAAACGTTCCTTTGCATTTGATTGTACAGGGGTTCACTTCACTAAAAACTAAATATTTGGACGAACTAGTGATTTCTTTTGTCGTGCTTAATTCTCTAAAGTATAATATTTACTTTCTGTTGTGTTTCCAGGGCCCATCCAAATAGATTCTAGTACAATAGATAGCAACGTAGAATTTGTACTCTCTCAGAACAGCTGTATTCTGACGTCACAAGTGTCAACGTTGACACTTGTGACGTCGTGTATAAATTCTCTGTTGCCACCTATTGTACCTCATAATCTATTTGGTACCATCCATTAAAGTGGGACACAAAAAATTCATAGCCGCTTCTAATTAACCTTAATGTGAAAGATTCCGTTGTTTTTAGCTTGAAAAGCTTTGATTTTGGCTATTTCTACCATTTTTTCTGCTAGTAGTAATCCGCAAATTAATTAAAAGTGAAACCATTGTTAACAATAATCAATTTCTAATCAAAAAATAATGTATATCTCACGTATTTTTGATCAGACAACATTTTTAAGGGTACCGTTGTGAATCAGATAATCAGATAATCTATAATAGGAGAGTTCCTTGAAAACACGTGCACAGTTCTTTTAAACCAAACATGCTGTTTTTCCTACCACGTTCTTTAAACCCGGACTTTTTACACTTCATCTATAAACAGCAAATTGACCCTATTTCGGGGTAAAATCCTTTTGTTAAAATGTCAATTATGAAAAAATACTTTTGACAAGCCGCGGGGAGAGAGGATTTTCAAGTTTTCAAGGAACCGGCGAATTAAATATTTATTCTTTCTCATCGAATATTTAAAAAGACCAGGAAAAACTTTTTTATCCAACAGGTATTTTCTCAAATATTTTCCCCTGATTATTTTGAACATTTTTATTTTTCAATTTTTCATAAAAATTTCGTGACATAAATTGATTAAAATTTGTCTTAAAGATAAACATCTGGAATAAAAAATGTATACACTTAAGACTTTACTAAACAAAACTAAACAAAAGAGGAATGATTATTATGAGACAATACTGACTGATACAATTTTGTGACATCGTAGCTTCTTCAGGTATTTTTATTCTTCTCAATAGCTATTCAATTAAAATAGTTATGGTTGAAAACATTTCAGATTTCTATCTTACGTACGAGTTACTTTATTTAAACATTTAAATCAAAATGTCTACCTAAAAACCTAATGTCTAACTAAAACAAAATATCTACCTAAAAACCTAATGTCTACCTATAAACCAAATATCTACCTGAAAACCTAATGTCTACCTAAAAACCTAATGTCTACCTAAAAACAAATGTCTATATGAAAACCTAATGTTACCTAAAACCAAATGTCTTCCAGAAAACCAAATGTCTACCTGAAAACCAAATGTCTATCTAAACACCCAATGTCCACCTAAAACTTAATGTATACTCAAAACTAAAATGTCTTCCTAAAAACAAAATGTCTTCCTAAAAACAATGTCTACCTAAAACTAAATGTCTACCTAGAAATGTTTCTGGATTCATATCCTGACCAACTGTAGATAATGTCATCACGCCCCACCAGAAACATTCAAAAAATGTCCATTTCTAAAAAAACTTTATTTTACAATTTTTTAACATTTGAGAAGACTGGGTGACAAATACTACACATACATTGTCTCCCAAACTATGAAATTTTGTGTCAGTTTACATTATGAGATTTACAGTTTACATTATGAGATTTACAGTTTACATTATGAGATTTATAGTTTACATTATGAGATTTACAGTTTACATTTTTCTCTATTTAAAAGACTTGCGGATTTGGGCAACACAGGCGAGACAGCAGGAAATTCTTAGGAAATTCACTTTTACCAGATAGATTAATTACGACATTTTCCTTATTGTTACTGAGATTATGGATTTAAAGGTACAACTGTGAATCAGGCATGGTACATGCAGCGAATCAAAAAATGCAAATACTTTTGCAGAATTTTCCAAACCTCAAAAATTCCCTGAATAAACAAACAACTTTCTTTTTTGAAAGGTATTCCAAAGAGCTAAAAAAAGTTTAAATAAAATAAACGGAAGTAGGTCCAAAAATAAAAAGTCGGAAGTTCGTTAGTAGGATTTGTCAAATTGGCTGAATGCCATACTTTACCTTTACCATACTAAATCATATATATTAAGACCTGTTTTTAGTTATTAGACGAAATTGTCCTCGAATTTTTAGCTTGATGGATTTTAACACAACAGAATGTACAGCCGTGTTGTCAGTTTTTCTTAAATCCAAATATAACATATTTTGCTAAATAACTAGATTTTGCAAAGAATATTTGGATTTGTGCATAATAGCTGAATTTTTGCCAGATCATTGAAGAAGAGCATAGGGGTTTTCCAAAAATGTCTAAAATGTCATAGATTAGTATCAAAATAAGAAAATAGAGAGAAGAAGAGACATCCGCTAGAACATGTGTATAACCCGGAAGGTTATCCATGCTTACCTAAATGTAGAAGAAGACCTAGTTCTCTGTAAGCCTGCTGAAGAGTGTAGATTAATGATTGTAACCCAGCAAAATGTCGAACAAGCTGTAATACATAAAATTGAAATATTTATATTCAATTTAAATGTTAAATCTTAATAAGAATAGAATTGAGGGGTTTCAGTTAATCAAATGGGAGGCCAATTTTTCAACCACACTTTCTAATTTCAGAGAGATTGAAAAAAAAAAATTTATACAACACAATCTTTGAGCTGGTGCTATAGTTTCCCCATCTACTGTAATTTTTTCTTTGATAAAATTCATGATTTTTAAATTTTCAATTTCCTGCCTTGTACACTCGCAATATTCTCATTACTCTCACCAACCTTCAAGTAAAATATTCATTCACTTTTCCAACCGGGAAGATAATTTATTATTTTTACCCGGGACAATAATTAATTATTTTTACCCGGGAAAATGATGAATTCGTTTTATCCGGGATTATTATAAATTTATTACCCGGAATAATAATTTCTTTTTACCCAGGATAATAATTAATTCTTTTCATCCTGAATAATTATTGGATTCCAAAGACGCTGTGTATCCTTTTATAATAATAATGGAATACACCTTAGATATAAAAACTTTGACAAATATATCTAGCAGAATTCATTATTTAAACTAACTATGTACAGCACGACGGATATGAAACCGTGCTGGTTTACAGTGAATGAAGTTTTAGATCTTTTGATAGACATTTAAAAAAAATCCTCGAAACTAATTTTTACTCAAAATTAGATGCGGGAATAAATTGTTTCTATCAAACATTACAATCTTAAACGAACTCAAACGAATCAGATGAATAGTTTCGGAGAAAATGCAAGGAATTAAATTAGGAAAATCCGCATTTTTTTGTTGAATACATTATTAGAAGGAAAGTAAGGTCTGCAATGGTTCCTCAATTTTCAAAAAAAAAATATTCAAAAATTCATCTTATAAAAAGAAAGAAAAAAAATCATCCAAATGTTTTGTTTTAAAAAAATTTCCGAATTTTCTTTATTCAATTTCGCGCATTTTCTCTGAAACTACTATATTATCTAAATTCTTGAAGTTTTACCTAACAATTTTCCCAGCTTTGCCAATCATATCAACATCTTCTAAACCTTCCAAAACCAGGGACAGGTAGAACGGTATTATAGCTAGCAGGTCAACTTAAAGAGATTGTTCATATACTTAAAGGGACTGTATACGTAATTTCAAGTTATTTCAAGGTAGAATTTTCCAATTTTTGCAGAAAATCTACAAAACTTTTTAAAAAAATTACCAAAACTGCATTTCTTTTTTTATTCTACCTTTTGTATGTTCCACCCTTTGTACAAAAGCCTAGATTTCGGACACTATTCAAATAAAATTTTTCTCTAAAATCAATATAGATTCATGAGAATACAATTTTAATCTAATCTTTGAATGGTTTGTTCATACTTGTTCATACTTACTAAAGTTCATCGGAGCCTTCACGAATTTCCATTTTTTGGGACAACAAAGCAGTCTTTAANACTCATTCTCCTTCAATAAAAATTCATTATTACAAATTTGGACGCTTCGTCATGATTTTTTTTCTGACATTAATAATAAATAACAATTTTATATTTTGACAATTTTTCTGTTTTCATTGGAAATTTCTAACATTTCAAAAAATCATTCTTTTAAAACTTTTTTTATTTACAAAGGTAAAACCAGATTTCTTAATTGTTTTATTAAATTTTCAAATTAGATTTCTAATTTAGATTAAATTGATTGAGTCTAATAATGTTAACAAATCTCATCTCTAGAAGGGATGAAAATGTAAAAATTTGTTGAAAATGTAAAAACTTGTTGAAAATGTAAAAACTTGTTGAAAATGTAAAACTTATTGTAAATGTAAAAACTTGTTAAAAATGTAAAAACTTGTTGAAAATGTAAAAACTTGCTGAAAATATAAAACTTGTTGAAAATGTAAAAACTTGTTGAAAATGTAAAACTTGTTGAAAATGTAAAAACTTGTTGAAAATGTAAAACTTGTTGAAAATGTAAAAACTTGTTGAAAATGTAAAAACTTGCTGAAAATGTTAAAACTTGTTATAAATTGTAAGATGCTTCTACTTATCTGAAAACAAGAAGAATTCCCTTCTTGACTTAATCAAATTAAAGTACAAAAGTACGTTGACATGAAAACCCTTTCTGTATAAAAGTACTGGCATAAAATTTGTATAACCTGTAACAAGATAAGACGAAGCTGACCTTCCAAAATTTGGGAAAAAATTAGAGGACAATTTCACAAATTTCTTTCCGAAAAAAATAATATCACGATTTTTGATTTTTGCATTATCTCGATTTTTTCTTTTTGTAAATATTTTAGAAATTCGAAAAAGGTGAGTTATTTACGTACTCGCAAATAATATTTTTTACTTAATTTTTTTAATTAAACTATTATTTTAATTATTGCTCTAGTGTTTGCATTTTAAAAAATCCGTTTCAAAATTTGCAAAGAAAATGATTGCTGAACACTGGCCACCAACTTAGATTTTATTATCCTTTATTCGAGCAACCGAATTACTGGATACTAAAATCCGAATTTGCGAAAGGGAATTCTTGAAAATCTAAAAACGTTGTTGAAAATTGAAAAATGTAAAAAGTTTACCTGTAATTCATCAATGGTTGAGAGAACAAATGTAAATGTTGAAAGAAGAACCATAGTCAGGGAGAAAATAGCTAAACCTCTAAATTCAAACAAAAAAAAGATGAAAGACAAAAAACATAAAATAAATTAGATCCAACTATTGTGATGCACAAAGAAACATTTTATTTCATTTTAGCTAAAAAGTATGGATTCATAATTTTACACGAATAATGCAGAATGTTTATGAAATTTTGGCAAAGTAAAATTGGAACAATTTAGTTTGTTATGATTTTTTCCAATAGATATTACAAAATTTTTCTAATTTTGTTTGTTATGATTTTTTACAAAATTTTTCTAAAATTTTTAAATTTTTTTCAATTTTCAATTATTCAAAATTTTTTTTTGTGACTTTTAACTTTTTACAAATGACCTGATTTTTTGTGACTTTTAACAGCTTGTACTTTTTTGTCTTGAAGCTCATCTGTATGTAAATTTTGTGATTCCACTCTTTATATTTAATATAAATGTATTTATAAAAAATCTAAGAGTTTATAAAGATAAACACGAAAAAGAATTTTACAATAAAAATGATATTGGTTTGCCGAGGCCACATTGTGAAGATTATTTTTTTTAACAAAAAGGGGGCATATCAAACAATAGGCTAGCCTAGAAACTAACCTTGCAAACTTATTAGTCCATGGATACTCTATCGTATTCCAGGTGATAGTGCGAAACCGTCCAACCTAGATATTTAATCTTTAATATATTTGTTTGGTTTCGGAATAGACATATTCTTCTTAGTTTATGTTTTTCCCGAGCTTTAGCGAAATAAAAAAAACGCAAAATAAAGTTAATTTTAAATTTGTTTTTGTTTAAATTGAAACTATACTTTTGGAAATATATATGTACAATCTAACTTTAAACCACAGCAAGGTCTGTAACCTATATCACTGCTTCAATAAAAAATTAGTATAAAGCAAAGGAGAAGCATAATACATAATAAAGTACAAAATGGAAACAAATAAATGTTTAAAAAAAAGTTTAATTCATAAAATGTTACAAATTATTAAAAATAAGTAAAATAAGTAAAATTATTTTGCGCGTTTCTTTATCTAAAGCAAGAAAAAATATTTATTCGAAAAAATATGTTTATAAAACGAAATTTAGATTTTGCCACAAAATCTAATCTTCTAATTCCTATTTCTTGTAACTCCATAGATGTCTATAAACTAAAAATTTTCTTAAATCTATTATTTTATGTTTTACATATCAAAGTTTCAGACCATTATGTTGCAAAGAGTTTCGAAAATTTGTGGCAAAAACTCAATTTCCTTTTCAAAAAACTTAAATTTACCAAACTGTTTCCAAAATCCTCCTCCTCCGCTAAATATAAAGATAATTATAAGAGAAAAAGATGAATTAGATTTAGTTTAACTTTTCTTGAAACTGTTTTATTGGTTTCCTTTCTGACTATTTATAGATGTAGAAGTAGAAAATGGGAAAACTGTGTTATCTGTCTTTATGAATCTCAGACCAAACAGAAAAAAAACTTTTCCCAAATATAATTAAATTAAAGGGACTGTAAGCGTAATTTATAAATTACGCTTTATGCGAAGATGACAATGGCAGATTTACAACGCTATCATTGGAATTTTTATATTTCTCCTTGACTACTCAAAAGTTTAAAGGGTGAATCGAGCACGCTACTACGGTGGGTCTCTTACAATTACCCCTACAGTCCCTTTAAAGGAACTGAGACCCGTCTTAAACTCTATTCTTTATACATAGTCTATGAAACCTAATATTGTGAACCTTTGATATTACAATTTTTGATTCTCTATTTTATCTAGCGAAATTCAGTTGAAATATCAAAGGTTTATCTAGCAGAATTCAGTTGAAATATCAAAAGTTTATCTGGCAGAATTCAGTTGAAATATCAAAGGTTTATCTAGCAGAATTCAATTGAAATATCAAAGGTTTATCTAGTAGAATTCAGTTGAAATATCAAAAGTTTATCTAGCAGAATTCAGTTGAAATATCAAAGGTTTATCTAGCAGAATTCAGTTGAAATATCAAAGGTTAATCTAGCAGAATTCAGTTGAAATATCAAAGGTTAATTTATCAGAATTCAGTTTAACTATCAAAGGTTTAAGTTTTTGTATTCAAAGTGCAGAAAAATACGATTTATTTTCAATCATTTTATTTCTGTTGACAAAAACTTTTACGTCTTCTCACCTAATTCAATTTCTTTTTTCCTAGTGTTATTGTCATCATCTTTTTCATTCTGTCCAATCTAAACAAAAGATTAAAGGGACTGTACGCGTAATTTTAATTTTAATTTTTATTAGTAAGCAAAGGAAAGAAACTTTAAATGAAAATAAAGAAACAAAAAATTGATTTCTTATTCATGATTGTTAAGACAAACCTTAGTAGGTACTGAACATTGCCATATGGAGGGTCACTCGAAATTACGATTACAGTCCTTTTTATTAGTCCCAGACAAAAGAAGATAAACTCATTTATTTTTTCTCAAAAAAATCAATCTGCCTAGAATATGAAATCTAATATTATATTTTCTTGGACAACTTGCAGCTTCTTGAATAAATTAAAGAGCAAGTTAGGTAACTTTACTGGCTAGAGAATTAGAGTTCCGGGAAAGCTGGGAGGGGAGGGTGGAATTATGTTCAAGGATTTTATGTAAAAAAGAATTTTTTAGAAATGTTGGGTTTAGAGATTTTGTAGAAAAAAGTATTTTCGAAATGAATATTCTTCATTCAGAGGTCGTGGGAAATATTTAAAAATTTAGAGAATTGAAATTGTCAAAATTGCCATAAAAGATAAATTCAATTTCTTTGCTTTCACTCTGCAACTTCAAAAAGTTATTAGATTTGTATTTTTTTGGAATAAATAAATCATTCTTAGGCCAAATTTAAAGAATTTGAGCCGCGGCTCAAATAAAATGAAGAAATCACCTCTAGCTGTTGATAGTATTTGAGGGCACAACAAGGGGCCATCACAAGTTCATCAATACACCAGAACTCAAGATCCTAAAATAGGAAAGAAGACGACATTATTTGATTTATGAAAAGAAGACAACATCGTTTTCTTTTTCAAATTTAATCAATGTTTTCTTTTCTATGATTGATTAATCGGCCAGAGTATGAAAAAAAATAGTTTGCAGAATTTTTTTTCTTTTTGGTTAATCAATATTTGAAAACTTAAAAATACTTTAAAATTTTTATACAAGGGCATTGAGTGACGATATTGTTATCGTCTTTGTAAATGATTTATTGATTTAGTATAGCGATGCCTTGTAGGAAAGCTGTAATCTGTTGATATTTCGTCTGCTAGAGTTACGAATTTGTTTGTTTATGTTTTGATTGCATACTAATATACTAAGTAAAACTTACATGTATAAACATAGTACAGTTGTTCATTTTCTTTGTTTATCCCAAAGAAGTGCTACAGAACATCATACAACGTTTTTGAGACTAAGTAAAAAGTTTTTACCGTTCAAATAAAAACAAACTCAAGCAGACGTAACTTTATTTGACCATTAAAAATAGTTTGTACAACGCTAATTTATAGCAAGGACGATTTCGAGTTCGTCTTCTAATTAACATATTTATTGGGACACCCTCTGTACCAACAGCTTAATTGATAATTTTATCATCAATTTTTTTTAGAATGCCCGCAACTAAAAACCTAAATTTTTTTTTTCGTTAAAATCTGAATAAACATGTATTTTAAAATCTGAATAGACATGTATTTTAAAATTTGAATAAACATGCACTTTAAAATCTGAATAAACATGTATTTTTTGTACATTCCTAATATCTGGAAACTACTGAATATATCACCTGCTGGAGAACAATCATACAACCGTTCTGACAGATATGGAAATCCCCAGTTCTGTACCTTGATTAATAAACATATAGAACTGGGCCAGTTTTTTACCTTAATTAATAAACATAATAGATTTGGGCCAGTTATGTACCTTGATTAATAAACATAATAGAACTGGGCTAGTTCTACCTTGATTAATAAACATAATAGAACTGGGCCAGTTCTGTTCCTTAAATAATAAACATATTAGAACTGGGCTAGTTCTGTACCTTGATTAATAAACACAATAGAACTGGGCCAGTTCTGTACCTAGATTGATAAACATAATAGAACTGGGCCAGTTCTGTACCTTGATTAATAAACATAATAGAACTGGGCCAGTTCTGTACCTTGATTAATAAACATAAAAGAACAGGGCTAGTTCTGTACCTTGATTAATAAACATAAAAGAACAGGGCCAGTTCTGTACCTTGATTAATAAACATAATAGAACTGGGACTCACATTCAGGACTTACATGATTTTAAGAGATCGCATACAAATTTGAAAAATTTGAAAAATTTAAAATGTGTACATACTTTTGATACAATAGAGACTATGACACATTTTGACACCTGCCTTAAAAATTTTCGAAATTGTTTGTTCAAGAATTTATCTCAGTAGTCTTTTACCTTCTGTCAGAGATAGAATTTTATAAAATTTTAAAACCTAAACTAAGATTTTTTAGACTTTTGCTAATGTTTCAGTAAAGAAAAGTTGTCTAACAACTAAAAATGATTTGAAATAATTTTTTCTAAAACTATTAAGGTTTTTGGACTTTAAAAGACATTACACAAATACTGTGAGCTGTTCCAAAATTTAAAAACTGAATTCTTTAAAAGTTTGCTTTTCTAAACTATGCAGCATGCAATACATTTTTATTTTAAGAGAAAATAAAATAGGAAAAAGAAATCAAATAGATCGTTTTCGGTTCGTGTTTCTATGCCTAGGGTCAAAACTTGGCATAGTGTACGGAAAGCACATGTTTGAAATAGACAATTTTGAAAAGAACTGAGTTTTTGCCACAAACTCAAAAAGTCTAATCCCAATATTTCTTCTATCTAAAGATGTTAGTTAACCTTCGATATTTCAAACTATTATTATTTGATCTAACTTAATTCATAGTTTGAAATATCAAAGTTCTACTGCAGCATCGGGTTCAAAGATATAGTGATTAGAAAATAAAAGTTTGTGGCAAAAGCTCAATTCCTTTGTAACACTTATCAGATCTAGTGGAGCCTTTAAATAGTCCAACAACTTGAAAGTTATTATAAAACTTCAAAATGCTTGCCCATAAATATTTTGGTTTAAAATGGAATGGAGTTTCATAAATCTCATAACCTTAATCTCATGTTTAAAAAGCTTGCTTTCAATGACTTTTAAGCAGGGGTCCGTATAATACTATCAAATACGATCCCACATTGTTGAATGATTGATAGTATAATGTCAAGTTGAAGAAAAAATTCCATGCAGAAGATATACAATATAGGATATCATAATTTATCTTTTACTTTGAATTCTGCTATGTACCTATATTAACGCCCCAAATGCAGTACACAATTCTAATGTGCAGTATCACGTGTAGACAAAACCTTGCCAAAATTTACGATGACACAGAATCCCCAATCCCATTTGGGATCAGAAATGGAATTATATGGACTCCTACTATCAATGTATTGTGAAAGATTAAAATCTTACATGTTTAGAATAGCTCCAAAGTTCTGCGGATTTCTATCAAACATGAAAAGCTACGTATAAATATAAATATAGAGACCCTACAGGTAGTGTTTACTCAATTTTTTCAAACCTATACAAATAATATTTTTTTGTACAGCATTATATCAAATTACTATTTTTGTAATGATATTCAACATTTAAAAAAAAAAAACAATAAATAATATAACACATATAAAATGTATTTGATGATGATTTGTTAAAAAGCCGACTTTCACTAATTAAACATATTTGCTTTAGATGAAATAAAATTAGTTGAATCAATGTTTCCTGTCGAAGAAATATGTTGGAGGATTTCCAGGTGTAAACTCGTGGCACACCTCTTTAATAAATCATATTCACAATAAAACGTAGAATAAAAAAGTAATTTTTATTGTAATCTCAATCTCAAGATTAAAAAAAATCAAAGAAATTCTCATGAAATTCTCAAGAAATTTTTAAGAAATTCTCAAGAAATTCTTTGCAATAAATTAAGCGATTTTAAGGAGATCAGAAAAAAGATAAAGTTTAAAGGAAATTGTAAAAAATCTATCTTTGCAGGAAACTTCTTCCTAATTATTTAAATAAAAAAGTGTTGATATGCCTAGAACTTCATGGATGGACTCTGCCAGGGCCAGTTTACCTAGTCTTGTTGTTGGATATCTTCTAAATATATGGAAATCATAGTTGGATATCGTCTAAATATATGGAAAAAAAGGTTGGATATCGTCTAAATATTTGGATATCATAGATGGATATCGTCTAAATATATGGATATCATCGTTGGATATTCTCTTAATATATGGATATCATAGTTGGATATCGTCTAAATATATGAATATCAAAGTTTGATATCGTCTAAATACATGAATATCATAATTGGATATCATATTTAGTTAGATATTTTCTAAATATATATGATAATAGTCATGGATATTGTCTAAATGTATGGATATCATCGTTGGATATTGTCTAAATATTTGGATATCATAGTTGAATATCGTATAAATATATGGATATCAAAGTTTGATATCGTCTAAATACATGAATATCATAATTGGATATCGTCTAAATATTTGAATATACTAGTTGGATATCGGCTAAATATAAGGATATCATGGTTGGATATTGTCTAATTATATGGGTATACTAGTTGGATATCGTCTAAATAAATAGATATAATTGTTAGATATCTTCTAAATATATGGATTTCATACTAGGATATCGTCTAAATATATGGATATCATAGTTGGATATCGCCTAAATATATGGATATCATAGAATTTGAGAGAGAATTTTTACGGAGCCAGTGAACTCAGAGAACACAAAACAAAGAAAGGAAAGGATAAACAGTAGAGAATAGACAGAGGAAAACAAAACCAAAAATTTCCTTATTTTTTCTTTTTCTTTTTATGACTGACTGAGAAAAGGACAAAAGAACATAACTCAATTATGTTTGAAAATCCAGCTTTCTACAAGTCATTAGCTAATCAACGTTACCTGCGATTAACAAAAATCATTTAACCAAACCTAATAGTTAAGCCTAAGGAAAAACAGGAAGCAAGATCAGCCCAGCGTAAAATAAGTGTTCACTATGGTTTATAGGGTTACCCATGGTCAAGTTTTTAAGACAACGGCGCAACACAAAACGCTAGGGTACATGACTTTTAATCGATCTTGAGCAAAACAAAGTAATAGATAACAAACTAGAAACAGATTTAGTGATATATCGTTTTATTTGTATGCGTGAGCTTGTGCCTTCACCCTTGATCCAAAATAAATTATCAAAGTTAAAAATATGGATATCATAGCTGGATATCGTCTAAATATATGGATAACATACTTGGTTATCGTCTAAATATATGGATATCAAAGTTGGATATCGTCTAAATATATGAACATTATAGTTGGATACCGTCTAAATATATGGATATAATAGTAGGATATCGTCAAAAAATATGGATAAAATAGTAGGATATCGTCTAAATTTGTGGATATCATAGTTGGCCGGATATCGTCTAAATATATGGATTTCATGGTTGGATATCGTCTAAATAGATTTAAAACCTTAGAACAACCTGGCTTTAGTATCTTATAATTTAAAATTTTTTTATTGAAACAAATCTGATTTTTTAATAGTCTTGCTTTTGGAGCCGTTTGTCAAATGTTGTAGAAACTGTTATTTCTTATAATAAAATCTTGGACATTAAAGATTGGTGAAATATGCTCTTATTTACATGTTTAACTTCGAATTCTAAATTTTATGGCTCTTTTTATGAAAACTGAGATTCAATAAGAACACAAGGCCGAACTAAAAAACCCCGGTCTAAAGAACAATTTTTGTTAATATTTACATTTCAACAAGTTTTTGTTTTTCGTGTGCTTTTAATTCTAATTCGGAAGTTTTTTTAAAAACCTTTGGTATGAAAAAACTAAATAGTTTCACAAAATGTTTCTGTACTGTTCAGTTTTCAACACTTTTGTAATGAATACCCATACTATATAAGGGAAACCTGACACCTTATCTATATTCCTGCTAATAACTGCTATCATTATTTTCATGCATATCTTGTAACCAAATAAAGGATTAACATTATTGTTCATTAACGTACCTTGTAAATATATATATATATACTAGTTGGGTACCACTACGCTGGTCAACCTATTTAGTTACGTGCAAAATCTAGCGTTGAATAGACCTGCTTAGGCCCTAGGTAGAGATGACAGAAAAACAGTGCGTTTTCTGTAATTAAGATAAATTCGGAAAGACTGACTGACATTCTAGAAATTTAAATTTTAATTTTTACCTTAGATAAGTTTTTAGCACGGTAAACTGATCTCCACCTAAGTATACAAAAAAGTTTTTAAGAATTTTTTGGCAAATCAAGTTTAAAATAGGTTAGAAAAATATATGCATGCATATGAACGTAATATTCTTATCTCGAAGTTTGTTTTAACATATTAAAATACAAATTAAAAATGCAAGAGGTTTTCTATGCAATTCGATGTAAATGATGGTAATCTTGAAAATAAATAATACAATAATTCCCAATTTTTTCAATTTTGAATTAAACAGCAATGTTTTAATTTAATAAACTGACTATTTTTAATTTTGGGTTTTCGCACATTGTTAAGCTCGGTTCTATAACTGTGTATTAAAGGTAACAATATCTCAAGTTGAAATCTATGAGAAGTTTTCTTTATAGTGCTAAACTGAACATGAAATAGGCGATAGAATAGCATAAGTAAGAGTTAGAGCCGTAAAATCAAAGCTTTAAACGTATCTTTAAAATTAATGAGACTTTTATAAGCAGGCTGAATCCATGTAGTTCATTTCCAGAACCAGGCCGTCGACATGCAACCAGCTAGGACGAGCTGTATAGTACATGTCACTACAAATACAGATTATACCAGGCAAGGTTATAATGCAAGGAAAGTTAATCGCAGTTGCGTACACTCTGCGTATATATTGAAACCAGTTCTCTCTGGGCGGAATTTATAAACAAGAATAGATGCATCAGTGTTCGTTTTGTATCCAAGGAGGTTAAAAGCATTAAATTTTGATAATTTTGATAATTCACATAATTATAGTTTCCTATGACCAGAAAGATGGATCCCATGCCAGGCTTTGACATCTTGTGTTTACCGACCATAGACAGTACACTGCAGTACAAAAGATGCATACACCTCTGAAATAACTTTCCTTGCATTATAACCTTGATACCAGGCACAACGGGACAGTACACCAAATAAATCAGCCTCTTCTAGGGAAATTCTAGTGTAGAAAAATGACCTAGAAAACCTAGAAAAACGAAAATATCTTCCATATTAGATTAAGGTTTCAAGGGCACCGTTGTGAATCGGGCATTGACATCTCTTCATTGCAAGCCTCAGAATCTGGATAAATAAATTTTTTAATTGTGTAAAAAAATATTACACGATTTTTATTATTTTTTTTTATGAATTAAAAAGAACGAAATAAATAATTAAAATTGTCCTTAATTGGCAACTTTGGAATCGACTGAAATCGGTTCAAAAATAATTTTACGAAGATGATTACTTCATCTCTATTTTAAAACTAAATCATTTTATTCAAGTAAACGTCTTAGGGTTGAAATTATGATGCATCTTCATGAGGATTGAATTGTAAGTCTATCTGTTTAAAAAAGAAAACTTTACAGAAACCAGAGTTCTTTCTCTTAACTCTGTTAAACTCTACTAATCCTAATGTTTTGTAGAAAGATAAAGTGAAGAAGAAAAGTTTAAAAGAAAACATATTCATCTTCTCATCTATCCATTTATCTACCTATCTTTCCACCTATATATCTATCTATCTATCTATCTATCTATCTATCTGTCTATCTATCTATCTATCTATCTACTATCTATCTATCTATCTATGTATCTATCTAATATCTATCTATCTATCTATCTATCTATCATCTATCTATCTATATATCTATCTATCTTTATATCTATCTATCTATCCACCTCTCTGTCTGTCTATCCATCTATCCATATATCTGTCTATACATCCATCCTTCCATCTATCCATCCACCCATCTATCTATCCATCTATCCCACATTACTAACTTATTCTTAGATGAAAACTTTTCCTTCACCATAATAAGCAACTCCAGTATTTTTTACTTTTAAAGGGACTGTGTTTTGATTTTTTAGCAAAGTAATATGTGCCAATTGTCATATTTTAAATCGTATGTCGATTTCTAAATCTATCAATTCAATAATTTTTTTTCGGTTGTAATGTTTTTACTTTAGTTTAGTTTAGTTTAGTAAAAAATGATAACATGTAAAATGTATTTATTATAATGTTAGCCGAAATATATATCTATCTATTTATCTATCTAATCTATCCATTGATCACTAATCTATCCACAAATCTATTAATTTATCCATAAATCTATAAATCTATCCATTAATGTATCAATCTATCAATTTATCTACCAATCTATCCATATATCTAATTAATATACTAATCTATCCAAAAATCTATTGATTTATCCATAAATCTTTAAATCTATCCATAAATGTATCGATCTATCCATTTATCTACCAATCTATCCATATATCTATTGATTTATCCATAAATTTATCAATCTATCATTAAATCTTCCAATCTATCCGTAAATCAATCAATCTATCCATAAATCTTTCAATCTGACCATTAATCTACCAATTTATCCATCATATCAATCTGTTGACTTATCCATAAATCTATTGATTTATCCATAAATCTTCCAATCTATCCATTAATCTACCAATCTATTCATAAATCTATTAATTTATCCATAAATCTTCTAATCTATCCATTAATGTATCCAATTGAAGTTTTGATTTGATTTTAATTGATATTGAAGTGAATGTGTAATCTGTGTATCAAAGCCACTTAAATTCAAAATACATTTGAGAATTAATCCAGTACAGAGGTCGGAGGTAATTTAGCGTTTAATCCAAAGTGAAACTTTTTGAATGAAGGGCATGCTTAATCCGTAAAAAGCGCTCTCATATTTTTACGATTTTCCATCGGTTTTTAAAAATTCAGAAGGGAATAACAGAACCCAGAGAATTATAAAATATATAATATATAAGTGTTTTCAACCTTGCCACTCTCAGAATATAGATACATGTATCTATCCATCTCGAAAAAATAGTTCTTCCTCTGCAATTTGGCTAGGTGCAGAAAACATCCAAAAAATTTATTTATTTTTATTTTCCAAATTAGCCGAAGTATGATTGAAGGATGGACAAGGAATGGACGATCAAGAAGAAAGAATGAAAAACAAGAAATATAGAAGTCTCAAAATGTTTCCATCTGATATCATATTGAAATTTAAAAATATTGTAAAATTTAATTTTAAAAAAATATAAGTGCTTTCCTGACAAAAAGAAAGTTTCAAACTTGGAACTTTTTCGTCAAATTTTGTCGATTTCAGTTTTTACACGCTATTTCAAAAATTCCGAGTTCTGCGGAGTATCTTTCATTTAACCATGAAAAAAATGTTTGTTTGTACAAAATTGAAATGTTTTCAATTTTCTCCCACATGCTTAAGGCTTATATGAATCTTTTAATAACAGTCGAACTCTGCGGTTTTAAATGGATTCAACCTTTATTTAGAAATCTACAAAATAAATTCTATTAAAGAACTCCGCGACATTACAATTTAAGTAGGTTCTGTTTGAGCACCTTTAATCTTATAATAATAATTTTTCAAATAAAAAATCTAGCAAATTATTATATTTTGAATCTTGTTAAAAATAAAATTGTGGAGGAGGTTTCTTGCAGGCAGAAGATAAAAGCTAATTATTATATTTTGAATCTTGTTAAAATAAAATTGTTGAGGAGGTTTCTTGCAGGCAGAAGATAAAAGCTAATTATTATATTTTGAATCTTGTTACAATAAAATTGAGGAGGAGGTTTCTTGCAAGCAGAAGATAAAAGCTAATTATTATATTTTGAATCTTGTTAAAAATAAAATTGAGGAGGAGGTTTCTTGCAGGCAGAAGATAAAAGCTAATTTATGCATTTAAAAGATTGCATTTTTCGTTAATGAACAGAAAAGTTTTAAAATGTTAAAAAGAACAGTTTTTTTTATAACCTAATTTATATTGAACTTTTCAGAGAATATGCTGCAAGCCTGCAGTACGTAAATTCTTTCAATTTCCCAAACCGATTCTTGTAATAATATAAGTTTTACTATTGATTTGAAAATTAAGAAAACTCAGTAATTAATTGAAACATTCGAACATTCCCAGAAAATATGAAAACGTCGTCTTCGTTATCAAAACTCCTCGAAACAGGAATAAATGTTTTCAAATGTTTTCAGATCATAAAAAAAATAGAAATATTATGACATATAAACTATATACGAATGCGTCGAAAAATAATCGATGACTATTGTTTGTAATATCTGAATGTTTTTTTGGAATTAAATTGATTATTTTTCGATCCAAGTTGAATGTTGCATCTTTCTGAATTTGTATGGACGCTGCGTTCTTCAGTTTAAGTCGTTTTTAACAATTTTCTCCTAATAGACGCAACAGATAGAAGTAAGATCAGTAAAGATCAAAAGCGCTTATCTTTCGCCGTAAGCCCCCTGTCATTTTTCGCCCTGGATAGTTGAAATTCGGCCCAGCACATAAAATGAACTGGAATGTACTGTGCTTAAGCTTTGCCGGAAAATATTTATTTACCAGCAGAAACTATTAAATATTTAAACTAATTTAAGAAATTTCATGGAACTGAAATGACTAAAAATATATAAACTGTAAAATATGAAGTTAAAAGTTTAAAACAAGCTAATTTTAACAAGTAAAGATAAGAACACAAATAATTAAGCTTCATTTAGGTCTTACAGATCTTTTAAACTTCGAACCGTCCTCATAACCTTAAAACCGATATTCAAAATACCATAAGAAGTCAATCATTCTCAAAACTTTACAAAAATAAAGATCAAAACTTAATATTTATTCAGATTCATTTCATTTTTAGAAATTTTGGTTTGGTTTGGTGTGTACCTTGATCAGGTTTGGTTGGTGTGTGCCTTGATCAGGTTTGGTTTGGTGTGTACCTTGATCAGGTTCGGTTTGGTGTGTACCTTGATTTGGTTTGGTTTGGTGTGCACCTTGATCAGGTTTGGTTTGGTGTGTATCTTGATCAGGTTTGGTTTGGTGTGTACCTTGATCAGGTTTGGTTTGGTGTGTACCTTGATCAGGTTTGGTTTGGATTTGTCTATCTCTAAATCAAACCCAGGGTTGTCTTGAGAATCAGCTGTGTGAACTAGTTGTTCATTGCTCCCACTGTTTCCACTCTGTGTCTTTAAAATCCTGAAATCACAAAATTAAGAAGATTTATTTAAGGGGCTGTCGAGTGTCGACCATAGATAAATGATTACACAAAGTGTACTTCAATGAAAAGCGGCCAATGTTCACAAAATCTATAAAGAATTTGAGTCTTTGCCACAAACTTTGATTTTCTAATCCCTATTTCTTTACAACCCAATGTTGTAGACCTTTAATATTTCAAGCTATAAATTTTGTTAGATCAATAATTATACTTTTGAAGAAAATTTGGGGAATTCTCCAGATTCCCAGGAATTTGAGGAATTCCCCAGATTCCTAAGTATAAGAGGAATTCCCCAGATTCCTAGGTATTTAAGGAATTCCCCAGATTCCTAGATATTTGAGGAATTCTCCACATCCCTAGGTATTTGAGGAATTCCCCAGATTCCTTATGTTGAGGATATTCCCAACTAGCTTGGCATTTCAGAAACCTGAAAATGAAAAATAAAAAAACCCTCAGATTCTTTTAGGAAGTTGAGAATTTCCCAGATTACCAGGCATTTGAGGAATTTCCGAGATTCCCAGGCATTTGGGGAATTTCCCAGATTCCCAGGTGTATGGGGAATTTTCTAGATTCCCAGGTATTTGAGGAATTTCCCTGATTCCAGGTATTTGTGAATTTCCCATTTTAGACGCAACAGATAAAAGTGAAATTAGTAGCAATCGATATCGAATTCAATTCGATATCAGACTATACCCCCTTTAATTTTTCGCGAACACTCTCTTTAAGATTTGTTTCATGCTATTTAATGTTAGATACCTTCCCACATGGGTTTGAAGTCCCGGATATGAATAGTTAGAATGTAAACTGGCACCACGTGTTAACATTCCGCTAGAACCTGTTTAAAACAAATTTATAAGATTACAAAAAAAATGAGTAAAAATAATTTTTCATCAATATTTGAAACACTTTATCTTAAAACAAATATTGTTTGGCATACTAAATGGGACGGGAAAAATGGTTTTGGCCATGAATCATTCTTATTTTTCAAAATACAAAAATCACCAGAAAACGGAAGAATTTTCGTCGTCTTTGTCGTCGACCCTGAACATGTTTTACATACATATCCAATGCAGTTTTAAGAACAAAGACGACATGTATTCAACAGTTTTCTGATGTTCACTTAAAACGCCCTAATGTAGTTTTCAGTTTATGGTTAGTAAAAATTAAACTTGATAAATTACTGTTTTAAATTCTCATGAATTGAGAAATTATCCTGAGAAGGAAAATAAAATAGTTTAGCTCTTCAGATCGTTTTTAGAATTCAGAATTCATTTTTCATTTTATTCTTAATTCTAGATTTTTGGTACGTGTGAAAAGTGGTTCATTTATAACCTATTATTCAACGCATTATTCACATTTTTAAGGTTAAACTCGTGATTTGCATGTAAAATCTTTACAGGATAAAATTCAAAATTTTGATTTATTTTTGAAAAAAATAATGTATTGTTAAAAAGCTGAGTTTGCTTAAATGTGATTAACAATTAAGTTTAATAATAGTTACCTCCGATTCTGAACTTCTGAAATTTGATAATAATAAAAAAGTATTGATAAAGAATTTTTTTCGAGAAATATGAAATCGCTAAACAATGAAGATAATAAATTTTTGGACTGTTTAATATGTTGCTAAATAAAAACAATTGATTTTGGAATGGGAAGACGACCATGATACACTCATTTTCTTACAACATTAAACATTAAACGTCGTCTTTCTATTCCACACCTTTATTGGTTGCACTGCATCAATATTAAAATATATATGTTTATTTATTTATAAACATTAGATTTGTTCTATATTACCAACTCTTATGCTTTATTTTTTACTATTTTGCGATTTTCAAATGCTATTGTAAAAAATCTGTTTTCTCTTTAAAATCGCACAAGGTTCTTTAAAATACAGATTAGAGTTCAGGGGTATACACATCAATTTGTCCAGGGGCTTACATTTTGTTCTTTATAGTTTTTTTTCTGATCCAGGGGAGGAACTGAGCAGTGAGCACCCAATGCCCCCCCCCCCCTCTGCGTGTACGCCTCTAATAAAGTTTTGATGCTTGACAGAAATAAAACTTCGTCTGTCTAGAGGTTTGAGAGTCTAAAATGAAGAAAATTTGAGTTTAAAAGAAAATATGCTGAGTTTGTCAAAAAAAATTAATTTAAACTTTCATCAATAAACTTCAACAAAATTCTTTCGTTTTTGTCCTTAATTCTACCCATATAAACCACGAAATAAACCACTGTTACTGTGTTGCAAACATAGGAAGTATAACAACATAATAGCTAAAACAAACATTTAAGACTGTAATAATACATTTAAAGATTAATTGAGATTTAATACTAATTTAATTCATTGTAATACTAATTTTATAGATTGTAGTACTAAATTTATGGATTGTAATGCTAATTTTATAGATTGTAATGGTATTTTTATTGTTTGTAATACTAATATTATTGATTGTAATACTAATTTTATAGATTGTAATACTAATTTTAATGATTGTAATACTAATTTTAAAGATTGTAGTACTAATTTCATTGAATGTGATACTAATTTTATAGATTGTAATACTAATTTTCATGATTGTAATATTAATTTTATAGATTGTAATATTAATTTAGACGATTGTAATACTAATTTTCATGATTGTAATACTAATTTTATAGATTGTAATACTAACTTTGAGGATTGTAATACTAAAATTTTTGATTGTAATATTAACTTTGTAGATTGTAATATTAACTTTGTAAATTGTAATACTAATTTTATAGAACGTTATACTCATTTTATAGATTGTAGTACTAATTTTATAGATTTTAATACTAATTTTATAGATTGTAATACTAACTTTGAAGATTGTAATACTAATTTTATAGATTGTAATAATAACTTTGAAGATTGTAATACTAAAATTATTGATTGTAATATTAACTTTGTAGATTGTAATATTAACTTTGTAAATTGTAATACTAATTTTATAGATCGTTATACTAATTTTATAGATTGTAGTACTAATTTTATAGATTTTAATACTAATTTTATAGATTGTAATACTAACTTTGAAGATTGTAATACTANTGCCGTGAAAAATATTCAATTGTTTATTTTTAAAATTCGGATTTGATTCAAGTCTTTCTAATGCTGAGAACAGGTCATAATATTTTTGATTTTTTTTTATAATGCCGTGAAAAATATTCAATTGTTTATTTTTAAAATTCGGATTTGATTCAAGTCTTTCTAATGCTGAGAACAGGTCATAATATTTTTGATTTTTTTTTATAATGCCGTGAAAAATATTCAATTGTTTATTTTTAAAATTCGGATTTGATTCAAGTCTTTCTAATGCTGAGAACAGGTCATAATATTTTTGATTTTTTTTTATAATGCCGTGAAAAATATTCAATTGTTTATTTTTAAAATTCGGATTTGATTCAAGTCTTTCTAATGCTGAGAACAGGTCATAATATTTTTGATTTTTTTTTATAATGCCGTGAAAAAAAGTTTCCAACAAAAAATTTATGATATGTCAAATTTATTCGAATGACCCAAATCAAATTTGGAATTTATTTATTGCAATATTTCAAGAATGAATGAAAGAATGAATAAAATCATTTACAGTTTTAGTGGTAAAATGAATTTCATGAACTCTCCGCTCTTGAGCAAATAGCGATTCTAACCATTTTCTGGCTACAGATATCTGTAAAATTAGTAGCAATCGAATCAAAATTTGATTTTAATTCAGCCTTATTTTTTGCACACACATTCTTTAAAATTGAATGAGATAATATGAAATTTGTAGATTTTATCTCATTATTTAAAACCATCATATTGCATTACAGATATCAAGTTTCTCAATTATCCCAAGGATGCAAATAATGATAACCAAAATTAAATAACTCCATTTCATTTCTACTTTTATATTTGCTACTGAAATGTAATCAAAATCTATAAACATCAAGTTTTCTTTAAATTTTGACCCAAAGAAATTTGTATTTTGAAATGCTTAAAAATTCGCATCCCTTTTTATATTTATATTATTTGGCATAATTCCATCCTAATCTTGTAATTATATGTATTAATACCTTTTAATCCAGATTTCAGTTATGTTATTTTATCATCTTTTCAGGAAATCTGAAATTCAAGTTTTAGAAAATTATTGTTTCTGAATGATTAGGAACCAAGCCAATACAATACTACATCTTTTATTAACTTAATTTTTGAACTTGATTTTTGAATTTGATTTTTGAAAAAACTAATTTCTTACAAGAAATAAAAATTAGTTCCCGTATCTGTATTACATTACATTACTTTAGTTGGCATATAAATAAGAATTAATAGTGAATTAAAGTTACTTAATAGAGTGTTCTTTTTCTTTCCAAAAAAATGTGTTTTTTTTCCCACGTTTTTTATCTCTTTGTTTTGGAGTTCAAAACATTTTAATATTCTCACCAATTGGTTTTTGGTTTTGGTATAAGAATGTGGGAATGTCAGTTTTGGTATAATAATGTGGATATGTCAGTTTTGGTATAATAATGTGGGAATGTCAGTTTTGGTATAATAATGTGGATATGTCAGTTTTGGTATAATAATGTGGAAAAATCAGTTTTGGTATAATAATGTGGGAATGTCAGTTTTGGTATAATAATGTGGGAATGTCTGTTTTGGTATAATAATGTTGATATGTCAGTTTTGGTATAATAATGTGGAAATGTCAGTTTTGGTATAATAATGTGGGAATGTCAGTTTTGGTATAATAATGTGGGAATGTCAGTTTTGGTATAATAATGTGGGAATGTCTGTTTTGGTATAATAATGTGGATATGTCAGTTTTGGTATAATAATGTGGAAATGTCAGTTTTGGTATAATAATGTGGGAATGTCAGTTTTGGTATAGTAATGTGGGAATGTCTGTTTTGGTATAATAATGTGGATATGTCAGTTTTGGTATAATAATGTGGAAATGTCAGTTTTGGTATAAGAATGTGGGAATGTCAGTTTTGGTATAATGATGTGGGAATGTCTGTTTTGGTATAATAATGTGGATATGTCAGTTTTGGTATAATAATGTGGATATGTCAGTTTTGGTATAATAATGTGGATAATTCTTACTCGGGCTATATAATTTATAACTAGATTTTAGAAACAATTTCTTTTATATGGGACTAGGGGGGGGGGTGCAAATTCGTCATTGCACCCCTCTTTCAGAAGAAAGGGGGGTGCACCTGCACCCTTGCACCCCCCCCTGGCTACGGGCCTGCTCAATACGCTCTGGATGATTTTTAAGAAAAATTATTTAAGATATATCCCGTGATCAAGAAAATTTCTACTTTTTGAAAATGCGTATATTTTTTATTTCTGGCAGGGTGCTATTTTACTTAATTTTCACAATTGACTATTAACATTATTTTACTATCCCGCTCTTTTACTTGGAGAAATCAAGTTGGTTAAAAGACAGTAAAAATATCCTACTAATAAGGTTCTTTTGTTAAAGAGACTGAGCACGTCCCGTCCGTATTTTTAACGATTAGTGTAACGGTTTGTTTTAACTAATAACTGAACCATTCTTTCTGTACGTTCATTGATGAATGTTCACGTTAATTTTCAAAATCTGTATTTCATTAATAAAACATTTTACAGATCTACTTTTATATTACAGAAATTTTTTGGGCTTTTTTAAACACATAATTAATTTTTGTTGGATTAAGGGTTTCCATTAAATTTCAAAAACTCCTGTTTGTAAACGATAATTTCAGATAATTTTCAACAACTTCCATTTGGTAATTAAATTTCCCGTTAATTTCAAAAACTTACATTTGATAGCAAAATTTTCTGTTACTTTTGAAAAACACCCATTCGTTAACAAAATTGTTCGTTCATTTAAAAAAACTCCTATTTGCCAACAACATATTTCGTTAATTTTCGAAAAACTCCAATTTTTAAACAAAATTTTTTGTTCATTTTCAAAAAATTTCTTTTTGTTAACAAAATCTTTCGTTAAATTTTAATCACTCCTATTCATTAACGAACAGTTTTGTTAATTTTTAAAACACTCTCATTTTTTAATTCCCTTCTTGTCAGATTCAGTAATTCTCTGGTCTAATTGATATTCATGGGGAATATTTTCTCCTGATTTGACATCTCAACAAGAAATAAAAATAATATTTATAAATGTTTCTAAAAAAAAATAATGATAACCCTATTCCTAATGACGTCTCCTATACCCATAATACCCAGCCGGTCCCTAGGCCCTTTTATTTCCTTATTGGGATTCAAATCAATAAGATTTTAAACATTTTTAAAAAGCTTTTGGGGTCTACTTCAACTATCTGTAAAAATAATTTGATAGCAATTCTGAGTTTTTGACACAAACTCAAACTTTATAATTCCAATATATTTACAATCTTATGTTGTAAACCTTTGCTATTTCAAACTTAGCTTATTTGGTCTGTAAAAATTTATAGTAAAAAGTTATTGAAAGGTCAATGACATCAGATTGCAAAGATATAGGAATTAGATAATCAGAATTTGGGGCAAAAATCAATTCCTTTGATAAAATCCAGGTATTTATCACGAAATGCAGAATCCAGTTATTTAGCAAAAAATGTGCAAACCCCAAAAATGCGGAAAATTTAAGTTATCCTTTTTGAAAAGCCCAACGAATAAAAATATGCTAATATTTCAAGAATATCTGTAAACTTCAAATTACA